CAGTAGCGATTCATCGTGCACGTAAATTTGGTGAGGAGAACCAGGGATAGGTTAAGGGGAGGCAGGGCCGGGTGGCGAGAGGGGGTGCGGGGATCCGACACAGAGGGGGAGGGAAGAGGGCGGCTCGAGCGGCACGGCGGCGAGGGAGAGAAGGGGGAGGGGAGTGACCGTCCAAAGAAATGTTGAAAATCTCGATGATGTTCCTTCCATCTCTCCTAGGGCGGTTGTTTGACCAACTAGGGTGGTGTGACGGTGGTTGTTTGGCTGGCTGGAAGAGATAGGGGCCGGGAGGGGGGGACAGGACCAGCGCCGAAGAGAGAGAGGGGAGACTGTGACCGTCGTCGTCGAACAACACCGCGTCAACCCGTGTCGGCGGTTCTTTTCTCTCGGCATGGCGCTGCTAAACGGCTGACACACGCACGCGTTTGCCCTCCCCGCACATTCTTCCTTCAACACGGACGGTGCCTTGAAAGCGTGGATTCCTTGGTCCTGCCTATCGTCTTGTGGCGACTGACCCAAACAAATCGCTTGCACTTGTGTGCGAAACCTTTCGTTTATTTTGCTGTCGATGAAGCCGCGTTTTGAAGGCCTTCAAAACAGGTGGCTACGATCGGTCTGGCTTCAAGAACTCTTCACTCGGCGTCTGTCAAGGCTCGCGCCCTTCTGTAAAAGAAATTACTGGGCGGCGCCAATGCCCCTCTCCCTTGTACCTCTTGACAACGTGTCTGAGAAAACAACAGTAAGGGGGGATTGCCGTAGGGAGTGGGGAGGGGGAGGGGAAACTTACCCTCCGTTTGCTCTTCTCCGCCTGGTATGCCGAGTCCAGCTGCTTCCAGTTCTCCTCCAACGCCCGCAGGTTGGACTGGACGGCGTTCTTCTTCTGGATGACCGCCGTGGGGTCCTTGCTAGCCGGCTCCTTGGCCAGCAGCTGTGTACACGCGGCGTGCGGAGGCGACGACGACGACAGAGCAAGCAAATCAGAGCCCACCAAACAACGGAGCGATTGCGTGCAGATATGTGTGTACCAGTAGTGCGTGCTAACCTTAAAACATGTTGTACGCGGATCGCTGAGTAAGGGGCTGCTGTTCTTCAGGTTGGAGGGGGGGGGGGGGGGGGGGNGGGGGGGGGGGGGGGGGGGGGGGGGGGGGGCACAAAACGCGACGAAAGATTGCCTCGAAGGGATAAATTCTCGCCAGGGTGAAGGGACCGAAACGGGCAACAGCACAACTGCTGTGATCGACAGACATGAACAGAAACTGACAAAACACACGTCTAGCTCGGCCGGGCAAGAACGCTCGGCTCCTTCTTGTTCTCGTGTCCAACTCAGGTGTCGTCTGCATAGCTATCCCCTAGTTTCTTGCCAAAATGCCAAAATGCCAAAATCCTACAGCAACAACCCCAGCTAGGTAGAGCGGCATGACATGTGTTGACATTAGTGGCGACGACACCGGGGGCGCACCATCCTCGGCCGTTCTCGAGGGTCTGGCGCTTGGTGGTGACACTCCATGCTTGATCGTTTGGTGCTGCCGGAGCAGACACAGGAAAAACTCCGCGCTGTGGTGCGATACACACACGCCGTTTGCAAAGCACACAAAACAGCGCACAGACACGAGCAGATACGTTGGGCAAGGCAGGACATCACTGCTGCTGCTGCTGCTGCTGCTGTATGCCAACAACCTTATGCTGTAGACTCACATCGCAGGTATCACCGAGCCTCTTGATTATGGCCGACTTCACGGCGTTGAAGCGGTCATCCTCCTTTGACTTCCTCTTCTTCCTTCGTAGCGCGCGCTCCTCGTCTGACCCTCCCACCGCCGCCTAAGGGTGAATGGGGGGGGGGGGGGGGGGGGG